GTCGTGTGCATTCTGTGAATATATTATTATAGAATTTTGTCCATTTTTGATATATAGTATTAGTATTTAATTAAAGGGAATAGTTATATAACCCATAATTTATTTTAATTTAGGCGTTTCGGGCTAAATATATGTAAGGTCCGTTTTTTTAAATTCCTTCAATTAAAATAGGGGTTCCGTATGGAGTGCAGACGAGTTCAGCGTTTTTTTTATTATTTTTTTTTGTCTGTCTACAACATCATACTAATTTTTTTCCTGCGACTCTCGAATTTATGGCAATTTTTGGAAAAAAAATGCCAATTTGGTGTAGGAAGCTTTTTTAAGGTTTTGTTCACATAAAATTAAAAATTTGTAAATTTTGTTGATATAATTGATCAAATAAGACTTTGAATAGATCACAGCGTAGCAGATAAAAAACAAGTTCAAAATGTCCGTCGTAAGGTTCCAGAAGTTCCGACTGATTTTGAAAAAGTGGAAAATTAATAGCTCCGATCGACCACTTTTCGAAGAAAGGAAGGCACGTATCATTAATGATTTGAAGGAAGAAATGCACATTATTGTTGACACACCTAAGTCAGTATCCGTAACAACAAACGATGGTAATACTGCTGGCGTTTTTTTTTATCCAACTGGTGTTGATGAAAAATTAATTAAAAATTGTAGTATAATCCTCAAAGACATAAAAGTATAATGATAGGACAATCGATACAACAATTCCCAACAGATGGGAATTAAACGTTTTAAACGCTATTTTTTGAGTACAGATCTCTAATTTTATTTACATTTTATACACACATTATCGGGTATTTGCGTTTTTATTGTTAACATGCCTCTGTTATGCCTGATTCCACCTGGATATTTTTTCATTAACTATTTTGTCAAAATGCATTTTGTCGAGCCTTTACGGTTTCTATGTCTTTGTAATCCTTTCAATTAGAGTTGTACAGTTCACGAACGAACTAGTTCAAATGAACGATTCACTTAAAAGACTAATTGAACTAGGTCTTATAAAGTCGTTCTATTTAGTTCATTAAAAGAACGAACATGAATAATCGTTCGTTTTAGTTCGAATGTGAGCGTTTTACTGACCTAGTTCGATTTGGTCTAAATGGAAGCGACGCCGATTGAGCTTTTTTTTTGCATGTAATATTAACAGCGCTTTCATTTAGTAAACATTAATAAAATATATGTTGCCTATCATTTATTTTGGCAAACCATGAAGGCTGTTATATTTTTCATTACCTTTGTGAATAAAGGCAAGTAATTTTTAAATTACTATTATAGTTCCCCAAATTCTTTTGAAACATTTTTTTAAAACACGTCTTATAGGTTTACACAAACAATCAACTGATCGATTCGATGAACATTATTAAAAGAACGACCTATGTAAAACGACAGCTGAATAAAAGAGCTTAATTGCGAACTACTGAACTAGAATACCGAACTAGTTCAATTAAAAGAGCTGAACTAAAAAGAGCGATCAGCTAACTGAACTAGATGGAACAACTCTACTTTCAACCATGACCTGTGGATATGCTATTAACGCAGAGTCATTTAAAAAAACTTATTGAGGAAACATTTATTCTTTTCGTGGAATTATATCCTTGGTTCTATATGCCTTCAAGCATACACAAAATATTAGTGCATGTAGCTGATATAATTAAATGTGCAGCTTTGCCCATAGGAATGTTGTCTGAAGAAGCCATGGAATCCAGAAATAAGGACTTTCGGAACTACAGGGAACTGTACACCAGAAAAATGAGTCGTTAGGAAATGAGGGATCTTCTCAATAGGTTGATATTTTCTTCTGATCCAAAAATATCAAGTTTGCCTCGTAGTACATCTGTTAACCATCGATATAGTGAGCCACTATCTGAAGAATTCCTGGAGGATCCAATGCTACCAACTAATTCAGATCAAAAATCGGATTCTGAATGTTATTAGTATTTAATAAGTAATGCCTAAATTTTATAAAGTATATAGTTTAATGTTTTAGATATATAATATTAACAATAATAATGATACATATAATAACAATAGTTTTTGTCCTTAACACACTTTTTACCCTCCAAATGTTTTGGAATTTTTAAAAGAAGCTCCCATTTAGGGAGTAATATTAATTAAAAATTTCCCAAAAAACGCCCCTGAGCCAATTAATGTGTTTTCCATGTTTCTGAGTAGTGGAAAAATTAAATGCAATAATTGTTGGATTCGGCGGAAATTCGGCGTAGCTATGAAGTAATAGGCATTACAAATGATTGTTAAATTCTTAATTACATTTCCACGAACATCAAAGGACTTTAATTTGGGTGTTCAGTCGAAATCAAATCTATTTGAATTTCTAACAATAACTGATATCAATAGAGAATAAGTTTTTCTGAAAAGTTACACTTGAACACACTTATTTGCTTTAAGGGAAATTTGAAATTTGTCGATTTAAAACAGATGGTGGAAGATAGGGGTATTCCATCAGTGAAACGTTAGAGAGATATAAGTAATACCAGGAAGGGGTAGGCTTTTCTCTCACATATCCAATCTTATTTTGTTTCAATCTCTGCTTTGTTGTGTGAAGAACTCATCGCTAGTTTATATTACGCTGGCAATAGAATTTTGGTTTTATGTCGACCCTAACATGTCTAACTCAGCTTATGTCGACGCAGCATGGCGAAGATAGGAGTATTCCATCAGTGAAACGTTAGAGAGGGATAAGGAATACCATGGAACGGCGGGCTTTTCTCTCACATATCCAATCTTATTTCGTTTCAATCCCTGCTTTGTTGTGTGAAGAACTCATCATATTACGATCCGTGGCAATAGAATTTTAGTTTTTTGTCCACCCTAACAGGTCTAACTAACTGATAAGAACTGCGGCCCCACAGACAGAGCTTATGCCGAGGCAAAATGACCATCTACCCAGAACGTCAGTTAGTTGGTTCCACTTCCAAACGTCAGGGGTCGCTAGGAAAGGACAAAGAGATGAAGATTTAATTAAAAAAATACATTTTTGAAAATTGTATTGCAGTTGGAGTCTGAGTCAAAATTTAAAACCCAAGTCTGTAATTTGGTATTTGATTTTCTCAGAGGGAAAACCACCTGCCATCAAATTAAATATTTTTTGGATTTGTCAAAATTGTATGAAAAGTTAATGAATAACATACAGTGAGCAGTAAAAGTCATGGTACCCTATACAAATAAAACATATTCAGTAATTGCTCAAAAAAAATTTACAACATTTAAAACATTTTTTTTTATTTTATGTATTCACTCCTATAATACAACAATGGAAAGTACTATTTCATTTATTTGTTCCAACAAACCATAAAAAGAATCGAGATCGTGTAAACTCCAAATTTTTGCACAGCATAAGTTATGGTACCCCTGGTCAGAGCTGATATTACACATCATTTATGGGATAAAATCGTTTAGTAAAATAGGTGGCAACTATTTAGAGTTTTGTCAAATAAACCGCGATCAGGCCGTCCCAGGAAGCTCAACATCAGAGAAGAACGAAAAATTTAATGTATTTTTTAAAAAAGGATCCATTTACCAGCTCTTCTTATATCGCTGCAGACTTAAAAGAATCATTTGGGAAAGCAGTTTCAGCAGACACGGCACGTAAGTGCATCAAGAAGTGTGGATTCAATGCTCGCACTGCCCGCAAAAAACACTTGTTAACAAAACAAACAAAAAGAAACGTGTCGATTTTGCAAATGATTATAAAAACAAGACAAATGAGTTCTGGGAAAAATTTATTTTCTCGGACGAATCGAAATTTAACATATTTGGGTCGGATAGAGCTCAATCCAAAGAATACTCGGAAAACAGTAAAGCACGGAGGGGTTGGAGTTATGGTATGGGGATGCATGTCAGCAACTGGTGTTGGCAATTTGGTATTCATTGAGGAAATAATGAATAAAACAGTTTACATGAATATTTTGAAACAAAATTTGAATCAAAGTGCTGAAAAACTCAACATTCTTGATAACTATGACTTCTAACAGGACAATGATCCAAAACATAGCTGCTATTGACGTTAAGAATTGGATCGTATACCATACACCACACATGCTGATAACACCTCCACAAAGCCCCGATTTAAATCCGATTGAGCACCTATGGGATCATCTAGATAAACGAATCCGAAATTATACAATTCCCAGTAAGGCCCAACTCAAAGAAATACTTCTGACAGAATGGGGTAAAATATTGTCCGACTACACTAAAAAACTTGTATACTCAATGCCCGAACGATTGAATGAAGTTTTAAAACTCAAGGGATATCCTACAAAATATTAGTTATGTCAATTTAATTGTAAAAATTAAGTGATATTAAATAATTTATTATTTTTCTCCAGGGGTACCAATACTTATGCTGTGCAAAAATATGGACTTTTCACTATGTATATTTTTTATATTTTGTTTTAATAAAAAAATTAAATATTACTTTAATTTGTTGTTGTATAGGATTGAATACATGAAATAAAAATATATATTTGAAATTTTGTGAATTACTTTTTGAGGAATTACTGAATATTTTTTTGATTTGTATGGGGTACCATGACTTGCTGCTCACTGTATAAAATTTTTAATTTAATTATAACATATTTTGTTTACATTTTTATATTTCTTGCAGAATCTATTTACAAAAAAAAAGGAAAACGTATCGATCTATTGAAGAAATGCCAAGACAACAAATTGAAATTTTACAACACAATGCAGCAACATTTGATATTAACAACAAAAACAATAGCCACCGACAAACAATAACAAATTGAAGAAGCATTTGCCAAGGTTTGTGTTCGTGCGTGTTTTATCAATTTTTTTTGTTTTTGTTCGACGTTTTCAGTGTGTGTGAAAAATGCATAAAACTGATTCAGATCTGCTCAAGTATGTAAAGCATCAAAATGTGGCTTAAGTTTAAAAATGTTGCCACACCTGTAATTGAAACGTTTCATTTGTTGCTATTAACTCTAATACTCGGCAATACATTCCATGTTAAGCAAATTGACGATATTGTCGTTATGGCTGCAACAATAACCCACATTCCAACAGCATCAGTAACAACAACAACAACGAAAACAATACCAACAACAACAACCGGTAGTGAAGCTGAATTTACATCAGCAGCAGGAGCATTATCATCATCGTCGTCGTCGTCATCATCATCATCAGTGGCATCAAGTGCACCAAGGACAGGAGGAACAAGTACATCAGCATCATTGTTATCGCTATCCACTTTGGCATTGCCACAATCATTCCCAGCGTTGTGGGAAACGAGTACTGCAAATAGTACAACAAAATTACTCAATTTATCTGCAAACACAGCTGATGCAATAACGTCGGGTAAGTAAAAGCTACTATGAATGCATGTAGACTAGAGAAGAGACAGAAGGACGGATCGCGGGCAAACTGACGAACGAACGAGTGAACGGATAGACAGGCGGAAGGAAGAGTTAACTTAGCGTAACTACATTCTAACTCTTTCGGGGAATGTTGCCTAAAAGCGCAAATACGCACACACCCTCCCTAGACACATTTACCAAGAAATCTAACAACCTTCGAACAAAAAACCAACTGAGAGCGGAATATGCGCTGCGAAATAACTTTGAATGAATGAAAAATAATTATGGTAACTAAATTCAACGTCAAAAAGTTTTTGCAATTTACCAACTGTTATTCTAACATTTTTATTACGTAAATAATATTAATTTTGCAAGTAAAAAATAAAAAATAGTTGAAACTTATGTAAGGGGCGGCGATATGGCAACTCTGAAACTGGGCAAGCATTCACTGGAGGGTAGTTAGTTTGGATAAGACAATAGTTTATTACTTCATAAACATTTACTAATAAATAATTATGAGTTTTACCATATAAATAAATATTAAAGATTTCAAATTTGTACAAAAGATTAAATGAAGCAAGTATAATCAGGAAGGGCGGTTCCGACAAAAGTCAAACGAGGACGATAATATACAACAGATGCTTCTAATTTATTTATTTATTTTTTATTTATTATTATTTATAATTTATTGTATGCAGTAAAATCTAGATAATTGCTATTTCGCCAATCCGGATTATACTTTTATCGGGACGAGATTTCACAATTCATTGCGTATTTGATTATCCGGATTATTAGCCTCTATTCGACTCTATAATGCGGATTGTAAAGATACATTATATTATAACTAGCTGGACCCGTGGCACTTCGCTGCCCCTACCAAAGGACAAAAAAGTAATACCATAATATGGTAATTTTTACGATAGAATGTGTAACTGACTTAGAATTTGTAAACGTATAGCATTATTGGTATGAGAAAAAGCCATAACTAATGTAGCAGTGCATTCCAACATCGCGCAAATATTCCAAATTCGAGGTATCAAAATATTGGGGTTTCTGGAGGAGTGTGTGAAAGAAAATAACATCCTTAAGTGTCCACGGTAATATGTATACCGAATATATTTTTCAAAAGAACATCCAAGAAAGCGAGTAACATATTCCGACACATGATTAATATAAATTAGATGCAAAAATTCTACGCAAAGTGTTCAAATCTTTCCCCGCTAGGACAGTTGCTGTACAACAATAATTTTGCACTGATAGGATGAGGGATTATGATTATTAGAACAAAATCCCAAAGCTTTTGGTGTGAAAAATTTGACATTAAAATAATGCACAGAACGAAGTGCATAAAACGACTTAGACGGATGTTTTTGTTATCTTCCATCAAAGTAGAAATATCCATTGAAAAGCAGTAATAGGATCAGCGAATAAAAATTAAAGGTGTATCTAAATTTATCACATCCCAGTCTCCGAATTTTAACGCGCTTCTAGATGATCAAACTATTTATAATTAATATTCACACTATTTACTTCAGTGCTTTTTAAACCAAATAACATTTTTTCCAAAGTACACATGTTTTCACAAACTGAAAAAAAAAACAGTAAGGAAAGCAGTAAAATCAGACTTGGACGACTATATGATACCCTACATTGACATGAAATTGAACGAACTTAAATATGTGAAATTTATCTATATCTAAACCGACTAACATCAGTCCCTACATATGTCATTCTGTAACCTATGCTAAATTTTGTAAATCGATTTAAAGCTAACTTGACACACGCTATTTGGTATGTTGCTCGGTTTAAAATTTAATCTTACCATGAACCGAATTCAAGGAAACTTACCAGAGATTTATTTATATCGGACGAACATATATATGGAAGCTACATCTAAATCTGAACAGATTTTCACGAAACTTTTCTAGACTATTCTAGACTTAATTCAGTACGCTATGTCCAAATTCATGCAAATCGCGTATATAGAGGCCTTAGTACACCATTTACATAAAATCGGACGAAATTATATATGGGAGCTATATCTAAATCTGAATCGATTTTCACGAAACTTAGCACAAATCATTCTAGACATAATTTAGTACGCTATGCCAAACTTAATGCAAATCGAATGATATATACCGACTTTGGTGTACCAATTACCTAAAATAGGTCGAAGCTATATATAGGAGCTATATCTAATTTTCCCGAAACTTAGCATACATCATTATTGACCTAATTTAGTAGGCTGTACAAAATTTCGTGCAAATCGAAAGATATATAGAGATCATTTACATTAAATCGGACAAAAATATATATATAAAAGGTAACAGCAAATCCCAGCTGATTTGATTCCAACGTAATACTAGTGTCAATATGAATTTGACAAATTATGGTTTTAAAAATCACCCAACAGGAAAATTGGGAACGCATACAATTTGAAATTGTTCTTTATTAATGTGCTCCCGTATTCAATTTACTCAATCTGCCTGCTGGGAAAGTTTGAGGAAGCAAATCTTTCTTGAAGGAATTACTCGCTATTCCCAGCATTGTCATATGTGTTACACATATATATGGCAATGGCTCAATTAAAGGGAAGATGTGGAAGCGATAGAAATATAAATTTGATAGATTTTCATTCATGTTTTTCAATTTTTATTTTGAGGGTTCGAAAATATTCCATTTTTAAAATAAAAATAATTTGATGATAATTTGTTTGTTTGTTTACATTTTTCTGTCAAATGAGTTGACACTAGTAGAACTTACAACAACAAATTTCCATGTGGTTGTTGTATCGTTTTTTGTACAACAACACTTGCTGTTACCTTTTATTATTATACCATGGAGCTATATCTAAATCTGAATCGAAACTTAGCACAATCATTCTAGACTTAATTCAGTACGCTATGCCAAAATTCATGCAAATCGAATATTATATAGCGACTTTGGTGTACCAATTACCTAAATCGGGCGAAACTATATATGAGAGCTATATCTAAATCTCGACCGATTTTCGCGAAACTTAGCACACATCATTCTTGATCTAATTCAGTAGGCTATACAAAATTTCGTGCAAATCGAAAGATATATAGGGACCATTTACATTAAATCAGACGAAAATATATATTGGAGCTATATGTAAATCTGAACCGATTTTCACCAATTTCAATATGGTTCGTCCTGAGGCCAAATAAATGAGTTGTACCAAATTTCATCCAAATCGGATTATAACTGCGACCTGTACTTTGCTTACAATTTAACATCAAAATCGACTCTGAAAGTGATTCCTTTTGCCTGTTACAAATATATGCACCACTGTGTTGTGAAGGGTATAATTAATGTCAATTATTTCAGTGAATTTTCTACTTATGTTTATCAATATACATATATACATACATATGAATTTTATGTATTTCAAAATATATCCACATCGGATGATCCGTATTTGCATCCATTTTTCTCAACCAAATTTTCAAGTCTTAAACCGACCGTAAACCGACTAACATCAATCCCTACACATGTCATTCTGCAAATCGATTTAAAGCAAACATGACACACGCTATTTTGTATGCTGTACTGTTTAAAATGTAATCTCAATCAGACACCCACTGATTATTTGGTGTACAATCAACATATCTAAACCTGAACCGATTTCAACGAAACTTGCCACATATTAATTAATATTAACATCAGTAGGTTGTGTCTATCGGCCTAGCTATGGGTTTTTTCTGCACCATTTACTTAAAATCGGACGAAAATATATAAAGGACGTATATGTAAATCTGAACCGATTTTCACGAAACTTATCACACATTATTCTAGACTTACTTCAGTACGCTATGTCAAAATTCGTGTTAATCGAAAAATACATAGGAAGAAAATATAAATCTAAACCGATTAGCACACATAATTGTAGGCTTAATTCAGTACGCTTTGCCAAATTTAGTGCAACTTTGGTGCACCATTTACGAAAAATCGGGCGAAACTATATGTGAGGGCTATATCCAAATCTGAACCGATTTTCATAAAACTTTGAGCACATTATTCTAGACTTAATTCAGTGCCCTCTGCCAAATTTCGTGCAAATCAAAAGATGTATAGGGACTCTTGCGCGAAATTTACATTAAATCGGACGAATGAATATATATATATATATATATATGGGAGCTATATCTAAATCTGAACCGATTTTCACCAATTTCAATAGTGTCCTTGGCCAAATAAATGAGCTGTAGCATACTTCATCCAAATCGGATTATAAATGCGACTTGTACTTGTTTACAATTTAACATCAACAGACGGACGGACATGCATAAATCGACTCAGAAAGTTATTCTATGCTTATTCTCAAAAGGAACGATGGGTCTGTCTCGATTTCTTTTGCCTGTTAGAAACATATGCACAAAGCCACAGTGCGGTGAAGGGTATAAAGAGGGAAAATGTGTGTACAGTATTAATTTGTGTATACAGTCCAGTAATGTGTACAGTACTAATTTGTGTATACATATATGGGATAACCCCCATATAAGGGTACCCCCAACATTCGATATTTGGTATTATTATTTCACCTTCGGAGGATATGGAGAAAAAAATGGAGCATAAGGTACGATAATGAATTACAGTATTCCCCGCTTATTTACCTTCCACGGTTAATTAATCCGATTTCAGAATACCCAGTTATTTTCAGTACAATCCCTTACAAAATTGCACGTTTAATTACCCCCTTTTAATTACCCATTTCATTTATTTGCCACCCCAAAGTAACCATACCTTTAAATCTGTAACATGGAGTTACCCAATTTATTTTTTTAATCTGGCAACTTCACTTAAAATGACTTACATTTGCTAGTGCACTTGCCACACATGTGCACATAAAATCTATTGTTTTGAAATTTTTCGTGAAATGTCTCCCAGAAATACACCTTTGTCTATCAAACTAAAGCTACTGTTAATATCGCAAGCAAAAAAGAAAGAAAAAAACAAAACACCAGTGTCCACCCATAT